AACTCCGCTCGGAGCCCTGTGTGTTTATGAAAACATGATTAACCTCTGTGGTCGGCGGAGGCCACAGTGTCACCGTGTCCAGTCTGTACAGGGGAGACTGCTGACAGACGGGTGACAGCGGGAATGACGTGACGTACAGCTGCTGAGCTGAGTCCAGAATGGGTTCCATTGTACAAACGCCATTCCAGAAATGTTGGTACACTTTAGTAAAAAAAAAAAAAAAAAAAATTAATGAAGAGATTTACTTTGTTTACACCATTAACCCTTTCCTAGGAGGATAATTTGTGCAGACCATCTAGGGCGGGACTTGAACCTAGGTGCTCTGTCATCTCATCCTCAATCCTCTCATTAATAAATAAAATATATATAATATAACATTTGCCTGGTCAATACCTAAACAGTACTAATAGCCAGCGAGACAGGATACAGTATCTTGGCTTGTGGTAACTGTACTGTTGTATGTGGACCACATACAGTGCATTTATTGTGGACCACTTCATCTTTGTTTGTCTTATTATATTTTCCTTATGTTTATCTTCTTAGTCATGATGTTCTTTCTTCTCAATTAAAGGTCAGTTTTTTACATTCTCAGCACAGTCTGTTTTCTTTTATCTTCTAAAGTCTAAAGACCCTTAAAAGGTGGCCTTTAAAGAGACATTTTAATGGAGAATATGAACCTTCAGATCAGACGTTAGAGAAGTTAGCTTACGTTAGCATCGTTTTACTATGTTATCGTAAGACTCCACCGAGAGGCTGGCTGTTTTAACATAGAGCCAAATGCAATAAATTCAAAATTAATGTCTACATCATACAGTATGTGTATTTAATTTAGTTACTTAAGATGATGATGCGGTCATAACAAAGCAAATATTATGACATGCCTGAAACCACACATTGTTGCATATTTTCGTTCAAATTAATCAAAAAACAAAAACAAAAAGCTTCTACATTGAATTGTTTTATGCCAGATGCCCTTCACGTCCATTTCAACTCTAAGGAGCGGAAACCACATGGCCTGCAGTTACCCTGCGAACAGTAAAATTATACCGTAACTGTTTTTAAAAAAAATAAAATTACCTTTCATTATGGGAAACTACAACCTTAAGATTCTGGTTAGAAACCAGTGAAAGGAAACATCTAATTACTCCCAAAGCAATCGCTCCTGTGAACTGCAAATGGAACTGATTTCCACACACTTGTGATTAAATTAGTCATGAAACTGCTGTGGAAAACGGGACGACGCACCTTTGTCTTACTGTTTAAGAGATGAAAAGTGTGGCCAAAACACAGAACCTCGGGCCCAGCCATGTGCCTTTGAATTTATACACCACTACAGTTCCAGAACCTGGGGTTTGTTTCAAAAACGGCACTCATCAATATCTTTGGAGGAGGGTTAATAAAAAGAACATGTGAGTACTGAGTGTGTGCAGGACCTCCTTCACTCCAGGTACAGATCTGAGGCCAAGAAATGTGCAGTAATCATGAGCAGCTCCACAAGTCCTCACACAAAACGTAGGAACAACAGAGCCGTCGCTTTGCATGTTTTTCACGTAATGAGATGCTGGCAGACAATGAGCTGTGATTAGAATATAAATGTAGGCCATTATGTCAGTGAATATAAGGGAAAGACTTAACTGAAAAGACCCCCCCC